CTGCACAGAGTCTCGCCCTGTTGCCCAGGCTGGAGTACAGTGGCATGATCTGGGCTCACTGCAACCTCCACCTACTGGGTTCAAACGATTCTCCTGCCTCAGTCTCCTGAGTAGCTGGGACTACAGGTGCCCGCCACCATGGCTAATTTTTGCATTTTTAGTAGAGACGGGGTTTCACCATGTTGGCCGGGCTGAGGCTGGTCTTGAACTCCTGACCTCAGGTGATCTGCCCGCCTTGGCATCCCAAAGTGCTGGTATTACAGGTATGAGCCACCGCACCTGGTCTTTTTTTTTTTTTAAGTAGAGATGGGGTCTCACTGTGTTGCCCAGGGTGGTCTCGAACTCTTGGGCTCAAGTGATCCTCCTGCCTCAGCTTCCCAAAGTGCTGGGACTATAGGCATAAACCACCATGCCCAGGCTAGTCTGATTTATTATTTACGTAGTTATTTATTGAGATAGAATCTTGCTCTGTCACCCAGGCTGGAGTGCAGTGGTGTGATCTCAGCTCACTGCAAACTCCACCTCCTGGGCTCAAGTGATTTTCCTGTCTCAGCCTCCCCAGTAGCTGGGATTACAGGTGTGTGCCACCATGCCCAGATAATTTTTGTGTTTTTAGTAGAGACGGGGTTTCACCATGTTGGCCGGGTTGGTCTCAAACTCCTGACCTTAAGTAATCTGCCCATCTCGGCCTCCCAAAGTGCTGGGATTATAGGCATGAACAACTGAGCCAGGTCTTAATCTGATTTATTTCTAATAGAAATGTCAAGGGAGGGCTGCAGCTGCACCCCTTTATAGCTGGATATTGAAGGAATAGGAATTTATATTCAGACCTACAGAGAAAATCTTTCACTTCTATCTTCAACTGCTAAATCTCAGGGCAAAAGAAAAAGATTGAGGGGGTATGTGGTTACTCTGTGTATGACACAGTAGATTATCTCATTTCATTCTTCTAAGGGAAGCATTTTTATTATTCGCATTTTATAGATGAGAAAAGTGAGGCTTAGAGACATAACATTATTTTCCCACACTCACATAGCTAATAAGTGCCATCAGAAGAATTTGAGCAAAGCATTCTGACTCCAGTACTGTACTCTTCACTTTTTTTTTTTTTTTTTTAAAGAGACAGTGTCAGAGGTGTTTGAACCAGAGTGACTCCATCTTGAATAGGAGCTGGCTAAAATAAAGCTGAGACCTACTGGGCTGCATTCCCAGGAGGTTAGGTATTCTTAGTCGCAGGATGAGATAGGAGGTTGGAACAAGATACAGGTCATAAAGACCTTGCTGATAAAACAGGTTGCAGTAAAGAAGCCAGCCAAAACCTACCAAAATCAAGATGGTGATGAAAGTGACCTCTGGTCATCCTCACAGATCATTATATTCTAATTATAATTAATTAGCATGCTAAAAGACATTCCTGCCAGCGCTATGACAGTTTACAAATGCCATGGCAATGTCAGGATGTTACCCTATATGGTCTATAAAGGTGAGGAACTCTCAGTTCCAGGAATTTTCCACCCCTTTCCCAGAAAACTCATGAATTATCCACCTCTTGTTTAGCATATGATCAAGAAACATCTGGCTGGCCCTGGTGGCTCACGCCTGTTATCCCAGCACTTTTGGAGTCCAAGGTGGGAGGATCACAAGGTCAGGAGATCGAGACCATCCTGGCTAACATGGTGAAACCCTGTCTCTACTAAAAATACAAAAAATTAGCTGAGCATTGGTGGCACACGCCTGTAGTCGCAGTTACTCGGGAGGCTGAGGCACAAGAATCACTTGAACCTGGGAGGCGGAGGTTGCAGTGAGCCAAGATCGTGCCACTGCACTCTAGCCTGGGTGACAGAGTGAGAATCCATCTCAAA